CACCGGGGCCTGTGCTCACTGACTGTGTGCATGCATTCGACTTATGTCTTGCATTAGCGTTTTAACCACCGTGTCCAGCTGCGGAGTGGTGTGGACACCAGCGTGCGGCTATTAGTTGCGTCACGATACGTTGATTTCGAAATTTTGGCACTGGTCCAGTCGTCCTCCTAATCCTATCTTATTCTGCATTTCTTCGGGAAGTTTAGGCGTTTTCGGTACCATATTGATTTCTCTTTCTTTTCCCTTTTCTTCTTTTCTTTTTTCGTTTTTCCTTGAGTAATTGATAGAGGCATTTCCCGCCTAGCCTCTAGGTGTCGTAGTTTTGTGTTGATCATCTTGACTCTCGCTTGACTAAGTAAGACGTCTTGGGCTTGATCGATATGGCGGACGGAGGGTATGGCGGCCCTAGCCGCAACTGTTATAACTGCGGATTATACGGGCACTTCGCCCGTTGGTGCCCCTACCCGCCACGCAACAACGGGTACGTGGGCTCTCCTCGAGCCGACGGATACGCACCTCCTCGTACGGGAGCGAATGAGGCTCCGATCCAAGGGAGACCCATTCTTCCACCGCCGCTTCCACCACAGGCACCTAATCTGTCGGTCGCACCTGCCGCACCTGTGGTGCCTATCCTGCAAGCGCCACCTACACAACTGTCATCATCAAGCGCTATCGTGCCTTATCAGCCACCTGCTATCCCGTACCAGAAGCCACGTGGAGGGCCCAACTCGAATGGAGGTCGAGGGTGGAACAATCGGCCACGTGAGGTGGGGGGGGACGGTGAAGGGCTTATGATTCTGAGGGAAATCTAGAACGAACGACGAGAAGAGCGTGAAAGAAGACGTGAAGAGGATGACCGTCGAGCAAGAGAAGAACAGGCCAGGCTTGCGCGCGAAGAGGAACAGCGGAGACTAGAACAAGAAGAAAAGCGGGAGGAAGAGAGGGAAGCCAGACTGGCTCGCATAGTTCGTGAACAGATGGAGGAAGTTGAGGCCAAAAACAAGGGAATTAGCGGTGAGGTTAGTAAGAGTAACTAGGACAAGGTCGACCCGCCGTCTAAGGACGGAGACAACGCTAAAGGAGGGGAGTTTGATAGCAAGAAGAGAAACCAGGGTACTATGGAGGGCGGATCCGTGAATCCGCCACAGCAAGAGGCTGGCAGGCCTCGTGTTGAGCCTGTTGTCGCTCCACTCGATACCGGTTTAATCAGGATGGACATCGACTCTGTACGGAAGGCGCAGGATGCTCAAACAGCGATGTTCCGAGAAATGTTAACATGTTTGCAAGCGATTTGTCAACAAGGAGCCAGCAGCAGTTCTGCTCCTCCACCTCCAACTCATCCATTTATTCCTCCTATTCCACCTAATCCTCCGATTGTTGTACCTCCTCATAACCCTCCTCCTCCTCCTCCCAACCCTCATCATCCAGCTCCTCCTCCCCCACCTCCACCTCCTCCTCCACCAACCCCCACACCTACCACGCCATCTTCCCCTCCCCCTCCGCCTCCCCCTCCTCCGCCATCCGGTATTAGTCGAAGGGGTGGTGCTACAGAGCCCGGTCTGACCAGGACACGATCTAGGCAGGAGCACACGCCATCGGGTGGTGTTCACACAACACACGACGACGTTCTAGTGGAATCACTATCAACGAAGGCAATGAGCCACAGGGTCTTGGTTTTTACAGGATCATCAAGGGGAAGAAAGTTGCAGTGGCGGGGCCCGGGAGTGAGGGAAGAAGGAAGTATGTCGAGGAATTGACCGAGGTGCTGTTCAACAAGACGAAGCATGAGCTGGAGGAATTATGTAAGAAGGACAAAATCAAGTATATGAACAAGAAAATCACCAGCGCCGCGCTGCCTCGCCTGCGGGGTACCGAAGCATACGGCGAGGAGGACGAGGAGGAGGAATCTGAGGACGACATCCAAGAGGAGAATCCATCCTGATGATCCTTGGATGCTCCCTACGCTTGGGCATGCCTGGATGGGTTACGGATGGATAGACGGAAGGCTGGTTGGCGGGATGAAGAGGCGAGGAGGTTGGATCGGCTTATGCGTTTTTTTATTTTGTTCCTGGCTTTGTCCCATCTTCTCAGTTGGACCGAAAAATATACGGATGAATGGGTTTCACTACTGGGGAATGGGGCACGTCTGTGTGAGTTTGAAGGTCCTTGTGTGTATGTCCTTGTGTCGCTCTGGTTCAAAGCAACATATATTGGGTCGACTACTAGAAGTATAGGGATTAGATGGGAGGAATATGTTAGAAGATTGCTTCAAAACGGGGATGGCCGAAACCATAGATTACGCCGATGGTTCCAGCGGAAACATTGGGAGAGTTATGTTGCTATTCCCACCGCTTTCCCGTCGATGGATGAGATCCGAAACGTTGAGAGCACTCTGATTTCGAAATGGTCTCCCGTTCTTAATTGCGTCAAGCGAAAGAGAAAATTTTGTAAGAGGAAAGGGCGCAGGGAACGCCTATCATTTTTAAGAAAGCAAGGAGTTGGAGTGCCCATATCTATGGGCTTTGGCACGATTATTCGATGGAACTCTTCGTTCGTGTCACTCCCTATACTCGATACCTGGAATCCTTCGTCTGCATCTTTTTCCCTTCTCAATATTCTAAATGGAGTGATGAACAACGGTGAGCCTCAGATCATTATTGCTAGTTCCCAGGGTGATTGGTTTCTTGACTCGTAGGGCAAATTGTGTCGTACGTTTGGATGGTCTATTGTTGAGGCGGGGGGGGGGAAAACTATTTTTAAGTACCTAAAAGGACAGTTCTGTCAAGGGGGTGTTTTTGCCTTTCTAAAGATCAAACTCAGAAGTAGCATGTTTAACCTGCGACGGGATATATTGGTCTCACTGCTGAGTGTACCCGGCACTAGGGCGGACTTAGGCAAGACGTAACTAAACCATTTAATTAAACTTTATAACTCCATTGAGTTGTTCCATAAAGATAGATCTAAGGTTATTCTAAAAGGTGCAGTGGGGAATGCTCTCACTAAGAAATGCGGTTTCAGATGTCTAGCCCCTGTTACCATCCGTATACAGTATGATGACCGCATCTCGAAAAGCAAGGTCGGCGATTTAGCCAAGACTATTATCCGCAGACGATGTTCAAATGGCCACCTCGCAGATTTCATAATCTCGAGGATGAGAGTAGTATGGACTGGGAACCGTTCAGTTGCTGGTATACTACATAACCATCGAAAAATGTCTTCTACGGTAAATGAGACCTGCTCATGTTCCGATCTGAACTACGTGCTCCCTAGGGACGATGAAGGTCATGTTATATGTCGATTCTCACATATGGAAGAAGTGCTTGAGTCTCTAAAAAATCCCAATAATATCCTACAACCTCGAGTGTCCTTCTCGGTGGGTAGACTAAAGAAAGCTCTATCTGAGGGTTTGGTTGTGGTACCCCATAGTGACGATCGTGCATGTGGGCACTCTGCTTTGCGTTCCTGTTTTTCCGACAGGATCTCTACGGATGATCGTGGTTGGGATAATCTGTGTGTTTGGGAAAGTAGACTAAAAGGTTTAGTGGTCGCACCTTTAGATCACAATGTAGGAGACTTATTTGTCTGTTGCGCTTCTATCTACTACAAAGCTCTGCATGGCTTGTACTGGGTAATGATGGTTTCATCATTGAACAACGTTTCGAGAAAAAAATTATGATCGCCTGCAAGGATGGGTATTTCAAAGTACAGGCCCAGAAGTTGGTTCCTTGGAACAGTAAGGGAAGCCTGGGGAAGGCGTACGGGATACCAAAACACAAGGACGTTAGCATATGGAGACCTATCGCTCCATCCTTTTCCGAACCCAGCGTCAAAGTCTGCAAACTTGTGGCTAAAGCTATCAACGGTCTGCTATGGCAAGTTCCGGAGGCATCTCATTTCAATTTCAAAAGTACGAGCCTCCTCAAGAAAAGGGTCCACAAACTGGACCGGAAAGTAGGTAGATTGAAGAATGGCATGTTGTTGTCCTCTTACTTCGATAGCAAGGAAATGTTCACGAAATTACCTCATGACGAGATTATTAAAGTTGTTGAATGGTTGTGCGACTTTTTTCTTTCCAAAGGGCATAATGCGGCCCGGATCAACAGAAGGGGAAAGGGGACTGTACTTGGGAAGGGTTTGGGGGAGAAAGGCTGGGTTATGATGAACTTCAACTTTATCATTGACTTCATCAAATTCGACCTGCAACACTCCTTCTCAAAAGCCTCCTCTTTTATCGTCTGACAGATAGGGGGAATTCCTATGGGGAAAAGCTCTAGTCCCTCGCTAGCGTGTTTGCTCTGTGCGTTCCACGAGTTCTGCTTTCTCAATTCTTTAGGGAAAGATCGCTGCTTGATTGATGGACTTAGGCTGGTGGACGATGTTGTGTTATTCCTTATTCTTCCCAGCTCCTCTCCAGTTGTATTAGACTGTGTCAAATCTATCTTTTCCAAATTTTGTCTCATCTACCATCAGAATCTTACCTTGTTCCGAACTGGCGAGAAGGACGAGGTTTTTGATTTCTTGGGCTGCCAAGTGATTACACAGACGGTCCCGCCTGCAATCTACTGTGAAGCATTGATGAAGAACCAGAGGGATATCTGGAGCAATGGCAGGATCACATTCCAGTCCACACAGGACTATTGGTCCTATAGCCCCAAGGTACAGAAAATTGGCATTGTGAAGTGTCATGTCAGTCGGATTATGGCCCACTCCTGCGATAACAGGGGGGTGGGTCAATGTTTGTTGTCTTTAAGGCGTGAACTTAGGATGAAACGTTTTCCACATTGGATGTTCATGAAAGCCTTGAGGGATTTTTCCGCAGTCCATAGGGGCTGCTGGGATGGATGGGTTCGGTTTTTCGGCGAAGGGTTGGAAAGGACCAGGAGGTAAGATCGGGGGGGGGGGGTTAATAAGACAACAACAGGGATACCACGGATCGCGGACGGGGTTTTATTTGTCTGGTAGTACTGTCGGAGGGTTTTCCCGATCCCAAATCCCTTGCTGATGCAAACCAATATTTGTTGTCCCCGAGGCCACTGAGGGGTGTAGATGTCATTGCCGATCAATGTGTAGTATGTAACCGCAAACCCTGCAAGTTCTGCAACAACGCCATCAAGCACGACGACAACGCGCATGTCAATTGTCCGTTGACAAATGTTAGCAGTCCCCAAACCCCTCCACAAAATATGACACAAACATGAAGACGATGTGTCATGGACGGCGAAAATAATATTATCATCCATTTGTCCCATCCGCCATTTCTCCATTGTCGTCCTCACGGTTGTCCTGCGTCCTTTGGCCCGTTTGCACCAGCCCGCCAATCGATCCAGACAGGATGGTGAAGCATTGAAGAAACGTGGAATTCCCATCCGCCATCGTCCTGTTCAGGCCGTCCAAGAACTGTGCAAAAGAGTCTGGCAGTGCAAGCTTGTCAGTTTGCCTATCGCTGGCCTCCACTAGAACAGTGGTCATGTTTGTGAACGACCCTTCCTTTGCACATGGACCGGGCCACCCCGATCTGGTGCCACGTCCGCTTCCTCTACCATCTCCGGTTCTCTGGGATTTGGAAGTGTCCCTATTATCACTATCAGCCTTTCGGCACGTCAGGCCGCCACCTTCGCTTGTTATGCCTCCATCGTCATCATTTGTCACAGCCCTCGCCGGCCCGCCCATGACATCAACAGAGTTCACCATCCCCTTGCATTCCCCATCTGGTCTCGCCAGCTTCCATTGCACAGCAGGGCGCTCGTATGTCAATGGAAGACCCTCCTCCCTCTACTCTGATCTTTCCATGGTCCAATACATACGCTCCCCTGATCAAAGGTGGAAATCTCTAATATTTTTTGCTTGATCGATCAGACTACGGAAACGCCTCTGGCACTCGTCATTATCCCTCTTTGGAAGTCCTTGCTCCGCCATTTTAGACACCACCCAGTCAAACTTCTCACGCTTCGACCTCATTTTCTGCTGACCCCGTCTGGCCTGCTGCATTGTGTCCTCTTCGAACAGCAACCGTAGCAGTGCCATCGTCTCATCGAAACTCCAATCAGCACCTCGAACTCCGGTCTTCCCTGCACCATCCCCACGATGGCCACCTTTATTGTGGTTCGCTGCGCCGTATCTGCGGCACGAGGAGTGCATTCAACTGGTGGCGCAATGTCCTCCCCTGTTGTCACGGTGGCAGTTCCTCGCCGTTGAGTGTCATCTATGTCTGTCGCTCCTCCACTCCGTCCTTCACCCATACAGGTGTCCACTTGTCCCTCGGCTTGCCCAAGCAGTTCTTCGAAAGAAGGTGATGTGTTCTTCGTCGGCATGGATGACATAGAAGCCGATCTTGAATGGCCCCCCATCATTGTATGAGGGGCGTGATAATCACGACTACCAAGATTGAGTACCAGATCATCATTTTCGTCTTCTTCATGGTCGGCAGCATTGTCTTCACCACTGCGGCCATCCCGCCAACAGTGCCATGTCATCACCTTTCTTGCCTCTTACCTCATAATGCCTTCCGTTTTTTTTTTTTTCCTCCGCTGATTCCCCTACTCGACTGCAACCTTTTTTTCCTTTTTTTCTCCTCCTGCTTCTCATTTCGTTTCTCCCCATCATTCTTAAGTATGTGCACTTCGTATTCTGGCGCGGCTTCACTCGTCGTACACCTGTCTCTTATACACATCTAGATGTGTATAAGAGACAGGTCTTGGCCCTTCCCTCATAATGCCTTCCGTTTTTTTTTTTTTCCTCCGCTGATTCCCCTACTCGACTGCAACCTTTTTTTCCTTTTTTTCTCCTCCTGCTTCTCATTTCGTTTCTCCCCATCATTCTTAAGTATGTGCACTTCGTATTCTGGCGCGGCTTCACTCGTCGTACACAAGGGGGAGGGATGAAGAGGGGGTCAATGGAGAATGACGAGAGGAAGTGTTTATTACTAAGAGGGATGGGAAGAGGGGGAGAACGGGAAAGGGAGGAAAAGGAAAGGGATGAGTAGTTAGGGTATTTGGAAAACCAGTGGAAGGGAGGAGGGTGGGGGATGAGGGTGTCGGAGAGTCTTCTCTTCTTACCTTCTTATTATAAATCATGTTCAGCAAAATAGACATCATTATTAATAATTCCTACTAATTATCCATCACGCAGTGCGCCATCATCCACAGAGTAGGCTTCTGCTTGCTCTAAATTCAAACTATCATTAGCCTAAGGGCATTCGTGCCAGTTTTTTAATATAGAACTCCTATTCAGAATCCCCGCTAAATCTTCTGTATTGATATTCTAACATTATCATAATCATCTGGAAATACTCGTTATTTCGTAGTCTATACTATTATCATCTAACTTTTAATCATCATCATCATCATCATCATCATCATCATCATCATCATTATCATCATCATCATCATCATCATCATCATCATCATCAGTTTTAGTCTCCCTGGCTTTCCCTTGCTGGTTTCTGGTTCAATCCAGTTGAGATGGTAGGTGGGTTAAGGTGGGGAGAGCTCTACTTCGCAAGGGCAGCACAAGGAGGGAGGTGCTCGCCTTTTAGGGAGTAAGGGCAGATTCGGGGACTGTTCCAATCTAGGGTTGGGAGGGATGAAAGGGGTCGCATCACCTTCTAAGCGGTGGTAGATTAGGGCGTGGGCAGATAAAGGTGTACCTTTAGGGGGAATTGGTAGCCTCGAGGGAGTAAGGAAGGTTGAGGTGTCATTCTCCTGCTGCGGCCGAAATGAACTGCTCGTTTTCAGTGCAGTTCTGCTCAGCGGAGGCAGCAGGGGGGTGAAGGAGAGGTGGGGGAGGTCAAGAGGTGGGGAGGAGAGCGGAAGCTGAATCAACTTTAATCAACATTTTCATTAACATTATCGTCTGCTTTTTTCTGGTCTTTTTATTATTGACCTTTTCCTACTTTTTTCTCCTCTAGTTGCTATTCATTGTATACAAGTGAGATGGCAAGCGGGTAGTATGGGGGGAACTGATCTCTATAGGAGCATCGCAAGGCGGGAGGTGATTGCTCTGTAAGGAGTAAAGGTAGAACGTGGGATGTACTAATCTGGAGCTGGATAACATCTAGCGGAGGCAGATTAGAACAGGGGAAAGAAGATCGGAGCATACTTTTGGGGGAATGGCATGCCTCGAGGTAAGCAGTGTTGTAAGTGGGTCTGCTCCTAGTTGGGGCTGAAGAGGACTGCTCCACATCAGGGTGGTTCATTCGGCGGAGGCAACAAGGGGCGGAAAGAAACAGGTAGAAGGATAGGAGAAAGTAATCACTATCAACCAATCTTTGTCATCAGATGGTTTTTTCTGTTTAGGATTTACTGAAATCAGATCCTGGAATGCTAGGTGTCATTACTGACTTAGCAGTTTCTTGAATGTGCTGTGTTTTTGTAATTGCCCAGTTGAGTTGATGCCAGAGCGACGCTGGCCAGGGCTGGGGCTTGCCCTGTAACCTGATGAGTAGGAGCTTGAGGCCTTGTAGAGGACTCTGGGGTTGCTGAGGGAGGAAGGCAATTCAGAAACTTGACTGACGGCTACAATTAGGACCGACAAGGGTCGGAGCTGGGGTGGGTAGCGTTGCCCTGTAACTCAGCTAGATTGAGGGTGTGGGACCGCATAGAGGCTTGATTGGTACATGGCACGGCTTTGTTTAAGGGATGCTGAATTGATAAGATCACCTGAATTTAGGGGTAGAATAGAAATTGAATCCTGAATAGAACGATCTTATGGTTAATCTTCCTAGTTTATAATCCAGTAGTTCATAGCCTTTTGAATCATCCTGAATCTTCTTGAATCAGCCGGAATCATTTGGAATCATCCTCAAATCATCCTGAACCATTATCAAGCATTGTATTCCAACTATAAGTGACGCTGAGCCCGGAGCCCGGTTCCCAGCACGTGCTGCTCCCCACGAATAGATCGGAGCTTATTTATAATATAAAAAAAAAAAAAAAAAAGGAACGTGAACATCCCGCATGCAAGGCTGCACACCACCTATCGTGGGAGGCAGACTTCCTACCATACGATCGCCGTCATTGCACACCTGCATGTTCGAAGCCAGGCCGAATTACATGTGAGGTGCATACATCCCAGTCGTGTGGTGCACAGATTGCATTCCATCCCTATGTTCCCCATACCGCCTACATGCAGTCCTGGCATGATGTCACGAGCACGTCAATTGTGCATATACAGTTGTCAAACCAACAGTCATTGCACGTTGGCTGAAAGTGAATGATCGCCGCTGCCCTGCCCACGAAGAGATGTTGACTGTGACAATGGGCTGAAGACGTTGCCAAGCGACGGGTTCAGGACCTTGAAGGTAGGTAACGGAGGTAAACCAGTGGGCATTGGTAAAGAGCCGCGGACAGCACCTTCCCCCCATCCCGTTGCAGAAGTGCCAAGGCCCCAAGGGCTGCTTGGCTGGACATTGGGCATGGCGGAAGCAGCAGACGGCCTTGTTGTTGCATGCTGTCCATACCTGAGGGCGAAGCTGACGCGCTTCTCCATTGTGCACAGAGAAAACAAATTGCCACGTGTGTTGTTCAGTCTGTCATTCGCAAGCCGGGAAGATATGGCCTTCTCTCCTTCGTGTCCGATGAACTACCGTCGAATGCATCTATGGCCATCACCCGTCTTCAAATAGTGAAGGAGGGAAGCATGTGTTGGCCGGTGCAGCAGTGGACACACAAACACACAGCATAGAGCCATTCACCAAGAGCATGGACAGGCATGCCAGAATCGTCGATAAGGTTCATCCAGTTCCGCATCTACGGTGTCCGTCTGTTCGCACCAATGGGGCTCGTTCGACACTCCTTGGGGCGTCCTCGGGGCCGAAAGAAGTTTCCTTGGGGGTTTTCAAGGAAATTCCCGCCATCGTTCCACCTGTCCTCGGGGACGTTGCCCGAGGACAGTTCCTTCGAACGATGTCAGACAAGAAAAAAGAAAAGAAAAAAAAAATCAAATGTGTTTGAGGCCTTCAGCCAATAGGGTGCCGCCACGATCCAGATTCTCGGTTGTAACGTCTCTCTACCCATGTGCCCGCTCCTCTCCATGAAACGCGGATTCCTTTTGCCCAAGGGACCTCGTGAGGTCCCTTGGGCAAAAGGAAGAAATGGCTGGGGAATCCTCGGAGCCCAAGGAATTTCCTTCGGAGTGTTTTCACTTTTTTTTGCCGACTGCATCCCCGAGAATAGGTGGAAAGAACAATTCCTCGGCGCCCGAGGAGTGTCGAACGAGCCCCAATCTTCCCGTCGCCCAAATGCGCCTACGCTTTTCGGAAAGGAACTGGGCTGGGGTCCCCTTTCCCTGTGGGAC